GGCTCTGCCCAGCCATCCTCATGCCAGGTGGCTAAGCCAAGCAGCCTCTGCTGCTCCCTGGCTCCCAAGGTTCAGGCCCGTGCGCCACCCTGTGCACTGTGGGACCTGGGTGCTTGCTGGGAGATGAAGCCTGAGCCACCTCACTACAGGCCTCAAGGCCCTGCTGGGGATGAAGGCTCAAGCCGCCACTTGTGGCTCCCAAAGCCAGGGCTTCATGCACTGAACTGTGCACCGTGATGGGCCCGAGTATTCTCACACTGCTCCCAGGGCCGGGTCTCTGTGCACCATCCCTGTGCGCCATCAACAGCCCGAATGGTCTCGCACCGCTCCCAAGGCTGCTCCTCCAGTGGCAGCTTCAGGAGCCTTGGGCCTAGTGCCTGCTGGGGGAGAGCTCCCCAGCTTTTCTTGGCTCCACTCTCCTTGAGTCCCTCGCTGCATCTGCCCCTCGTGCTGGTCATGCAACTCCTTTTATACGCTCCAGGGCTCCGCCCCTGAAGTCTTCCGGACCTGATAGTTTACAGTCTTCAATCAGCTCTTCGCCCCCTCCCCTCAAAGTGGCGTGACCTTATTTCTCCTGCTGCCTCCTGATTGGTGGATGGGTTCCACCAATCAAAACAGCAGGATCTCAAGCCTGGGACTCAACCCAAGCTCTAAAAGGTGAGTCTGCTACATTTAATGTTGATGTCATTAAACAGATGAACTAGAATTTATAAGTCAGGCCTGAGGGTGGTGAACCTGAGCAGAGAAGACCCAGCTAGATAAATGGGGTGGAGGCCAAGAAGGCTGAAACCCTGATAACTGTTTGAAGGCCAGGAGAGGCCTGGTAGAGTATTAAGATGAGGCACCCCAGATGGCCAATGTCTGATAACACTTGGGAGGCATGGGCATGACTATGGAGGAGGCAGGAGGTCATGATTATTGCCCTTAAGGCATGAAGTGAGTTGTTGTCCCAGAGAGGTGACCCTTCACATAGAGGCTAACCCAAGGGAGGCTGGAGAATTGAGCATTGTGCTGAAACACTATAGAAGAAATGACCCTCTGTCTGCTGACGGCCTCTGAGCTCAAGAATATTAAAATACCATCAAGTCATGGCAGGTATGATTTTGGAGAGAGTATAGAGGCAGGGGAATCATTGATTTGATCTACCCTGGACTTTTGAGGGTGGCAGGATCGACTGATTATACCAAGTAACAAAAGCTTTTCATGACTCTAAGTGATTTACCCTCTAAAGTATTGTCAGATATTGGTTCTTTCGTCCCTTGGTACATGATCACAGTCTTCTTGAGACTAATTGTCAACCCAAAGCTCTTGCATGACTCAGAAAATCTGCCCAAGAGATTTTGAAGATAAGATTCACTGTGAGCAACCAAGGCCACATGATCTGCAAACAGGAAGTGTCTCACAACCAATTCTTTCACTTCATTTTTTGCTCTAAACCATATGATGTTGAACAAGCCTCCATCTAGTCTGGTTCAAAGATAAATGCCGTCGTTGCTGTCCTTGAATGAATGAAGGAGCAGGAATAAAAAGTAGATGTTAAAGAGCATGGCAGCTGAAACACACTCCTGTTTCACCCTATTGTTGATGTCAAAGAGACTTGATTATTTGTTTTCATACACTACAGCTGGCTTCACATCTTGGTGTAATGAGCGAATGATGTTCAACAGTTTGGGGGAAAAACTCAGTTTTTCCAGATCAGTGAAAAAGGATGATACAATTTAAAGTAGTGGGTGAAAATTAGGCATTGACTTAAGACTAGAGATCTAGAACCCCAAAATTAAGAGCTTATGAGCATTGGGATATATAGTTTAGCTTTAGTCTATGGCCCTGTGCAGAAGACTTGCCATCTGAAGTTTACAGAAGTGTTGGTAAGAACAGGAATACAAATGAAGAAAATACGTATGTCCCATGATGAACAAAATATAGATGATAATGAATGCAATATTTGCCTTCTAGCTGATTAGGTCCTGAAAGGAGAGAAGGTTTAAAATATATGCTTCAGGGATAAATTGTAGATTACAGATCAAATGATGCTCTCATCCCAATGTCATCTTATCCCATGGGCATCAGTGGGTTGTATACAGAGCTTGTGTTTAACTCAGGAGGACTCTTGGCAGCAGTTCAGGCTTGGGTTACTTCCTCTACCCCAGTGGCATAATAAACTGGGGTGGCACCCTGGACAAACCCTGCAGGAGGGTGGAGGACAAGCAGGAAGAGTGCTGGAGAGGCTTATGTGGGGCTTGTGGCCCACTTGCCCATCCCACGTTACACTACTATGCCTCCCATCTTCAAACCAGGCACCTTTCCCTCACTTAGCCTAGCGGGGCCCATCATGGCCTTGGATCCTTGAAGTTTCAGGGGAAGCAAGGGTGATCCAAAAGAGCAGGGTGTAGAAGTCTGAGACTCTCATAGGAATATGTGCAGTCCTCTCGCTCAGGACCTGCTTAATTAGGGCTGTGCGAAGCTTTGCGTACTGATTCGATTTGGAGGAGATTTGGCCTGATTCGGTGGCCGAGTCTCTGAATGCAAATCGAATCAAGAGACTAATTAAAAGGTCCAGATTCAGAGAGCTTGGGCGATTCAGGCAGTCCCTGCCCACTGCACAAGGGAGCTGGACCTGAACTCCATGCTGGTAAGTAGGGAGCATGGGAAGGAGGGCAGGAGGAGGGGGGACACCCACCAGGCCCCATCCCTTGACTGCTCCCCCAGCCCCCCTGAATGCCCCTGACCCCTGCCCATGTCCCAGCACTCCCCATGGCTGCTCCACCCAACCCCAGCTCCTGGCTCTTTAAAAAAAAGCCCCTACTCACTGACTGCTGCCAGGTGGGGGGGCAACCCCCACTGCCTCCCACTGAATGGGAGCCTCTGCCATGACTCTGACCCCTGCCCACTCTCCCAGCCCTCCCCCACAATGGCTGCCTGCTTGCCTCAGCTCCCGACCCTTTAAAAAATAAAAGCCCCACACTCATCGGCTGCTGCAGCAGCCTAGGGGCTTCTGGGGGCTCGTGGCAGGTG